TCATTCCACTGCCTTATAACTTATATAGTTTTAAACAAGAGGTCTGATTATTTTCCTAGTTCCTTCATGGCTGCCATCAAGATTTTCTCTTTGGTTTTCAGTAGTTTGACTGATATGTATAGGAGTTATCCTGCTTAGAATTCTTGAGTCTGTAGTTTTGTGTCCTTCGTTATTTGTGGAAAAATTCTCACCTATCATCTCTTGAAATGCGTTTTCTGCTCCTTTCTCTTCTTTCTGGGATTTCAGGTACTTATATGTTAGACTCTGATACGTTCTATCCAGCAACTCTTACGTATCATGTTTTTTTTTTTTTTATTTCACCCTTTATTCTCTTTGTGTTTCAGTTCAGATAATTTGTAGTTATATTGTTTCCTCAGCTGTGTTTAATCAACTAATGAGTCTATTGAAGGAATTTTTATCACAGATTCTTTTTGATATAGCATTTCTGTTTTACTGTTTCTTAATAGATTCCATCTACCTGCTTAAATTCTATTTAGGTATGTTGGCCACCTTTTTCTCTAGATTCTTTAACATAGAAAGTATAGTTCTTTCAAACCCCATGTCATACAGTTCTAAATTTCAGGTCATCTCTGAGTCTGTTTCTGTTGATTGTTTCTTGAAAATGGGGTTTTGGTTTTGGGGTTGTTTTGTTCTGCTTTGCTTTTATGTGTGTCTTCTCATTTTTTATTATATTCCAGTAATTTTGAATAGAACTGTAAAGGCTGATGAGATCAGTATATTTATGCCATTGTAAGGGAAGTTTGAGTCAATCTAATCAGAACCTAGGCTGGGTCTGGGTTTTATTATTGCTGTGGCTACTGTCAGTTTATCATAGCTCTTGAACTCCTCTAGCAGTGGGCTGCCCTTGCCTTAGCGTGGGACCTACATGCTGGAGGGGTTTCCTGCACAGCTGACCACAGAGGGCTTGTTGCATTGCACTCCTGCAGCATCCTGAGAGATAGATTGCTGCTGTTTGTTATTCTGTCCTGGGCTGCACGGGGGCTATGGGGTGTTCTGTTGTTCTGGTCAGCCTCAGTCTCGGGGAGACCCTGTATGCCTGGACCTCCATGAAAGGAGGTAGGGAGCTTTTTCATTGTTGCTGTTCTTTTTCTCTCTGGCAGCTAAACTCTGAGTGGTTTAGAGGAATTTGCTGCTGCTCCCCCAGCAGTGGGAAACCTGTATTGGTGTCAGTATGGGGTCTTTGGCCAAAGATAGTTCTCTGCCCCTCCCTCAGAGATAGAAAGGGTTTGTTGTGTGTGTGTGTGTGTGTGTGTTTTTTTTTTTCCCTACCCTTCTCCAGCTGTGATTGGTGTTTTCCTGTGCCATGGGGGTGCTAGGCTTTACTTCTTTCTCTAATGGCGTGAGGTTTTGCTTCCTAGGAGGTTTAGAGACTGTGTAGAAAAAACTATTTATATAAATGGACAATTTCACAGTTGCTATTTAGAGGGTTCTAATGACTGGGATCTATTTTTGATCATGGCTGCTTAAAATAACACTGAATTTTTAAAAGCTCATTGGCAGGTAATTTTATTTTCATATTTCATTTGCTGATTTTATTCCTGTCTTCTGAAATTATTTCACTAATCCTTACAATCATGAGAGAGTTTGCCTTTTAAAATACTCGCAAAACCTTTTTCAGGCTTTGGCATTGTCTTTTTTTTTTTTTTTTTTAAAGTGACTGTTGAAAATCAATAATACTAAGTGCACTCTTAATTTAAAATTGAAATGTTCATGATTGTCACGTTCTTATTAGGAACAAAACTAATACCCATACTTGGAGATAAAACTGTGTGCTTCAGATTTCAAAATCCAGGGTGAACAGTATAAATTATTAATATGATTCTTGTTGGTTTGATAAGCATTATAAATGCCAGACTACCTTTTTTTTTCTTATTTTTTTAAACTCTCATTTTATCTGCAAGAACAAACTCTTCAGCCCTCAGGGAAATTATCAGGCTGGGTAAAAACTTTCTGAGAGGCAGCGTTGCATGGACTGGAGCCAGACTGCTTAGGTTCTAATTAGTTTTACATCTCAGTAGTTATGTGACTTTGGACGAGTTACCTAGTCTCTTTATGCCTCAATTTCCTCATCTAAATTAAAGATAATAATAGGATCTAGCTCAAAAGCTTATTGCAAGAATTATGAGGGTTAATATACATGAAACACTTAGAACAGTGCCTGGCCTCATACAAAGTACTGCAGAAGTGTTTGCTATAACATAGAGTTTCATCCTGTGAGTCACAAAGAGTTGCTGATAAGCTGAAACAACCCAAAAATGGAAAGGCAAGGGATTGGAAAAAATCCTGGTAAGAGATTATTCAGCTATAGGCTATTCCACAAGCTACAGGGAGGGAAGGACAGACGTGAAACCAGGCACACATCCTGGAACAGATAGCCATGATTACATTTGACCAGATCTCTGCTTCTGATCACACAGAAAATGCTCTTGTGTACTTCAAGCCTGAGCTAAGTCCATGGGGCAGAGGCAGGAGGGAGGGAGAAGTCAATGAGCCAAGCAGGACTTGGCCAGAAGGGCCAAAGCTCACTTCTGTATTTCCTTCATTCTGATCAGAACACTAATAATCTGGAGTCAGACTCACCAATTATTATTCCAGGTTTAGCTGTGTGAATTTCAACAAATTAACCCTTTTCAATTTCAGTTTCTTTGTAAAATGGAGATGATAAGAATAAGACTTACTGAAGTTGTTAAGGAAATAATCCCCGTAAGGTGCTTATTCATTAGCTCAGTGCCTTAAACATAGGAAATGTTCTGGATGGTCATCATCCTCCCTCTCCCCGTCCCCACTGTCAACATCATCATCACCATCAGTTGTCATGGGGAATCCCAAGATGCCGAAATCCTGATCTGGCACAGCCTTTGCTTCTATACTTTTTCTCATTCCTCAGGCTTCTAAAGGAAGTAAGTACACAGAGAGCAAAACCAAACAACCTGTTTGCACTTTACTACTATGAAGTTTGGCCTTCATATAGTAGACCCTGGTGGAACTAGGCTGGTCTGTTTGGAGAACTGATTTGGTCTTTCACTCAGCTAGATACCAACACAGCTTTCCTTTGGCAAGTTAGAGGCTTTAAAAGCATGTCATCTTCTAATAGTTACAGTTTTATTTCTAATCTTTCTGCTTTTTGCTTCTTCTTGTTGCACAAATTAGGGCCTTCAAATGATGCTAAATAAAAGTGCTGACTAGCAGATATCCTTGTCTCATTTCTATTCTCAGGGAGAATGTCTTAGTCACCTTGGGCTGCCATAACAAAATACCACAGATGGGGTGGCTTAAACAACAGAAACTTATTTTCTAATAGTTCTGAAGGCTAGAAGTCCAAGGTCAAGGTGCCAGCATGATTGGTTTCTGGTGAGAGCTCTCTTCTGGCTTATGGATGGTCACCTTTGTACTTTGTCCTCACGTGGCAGAAGCAAAATAAAATAATTATGAAAAGCTTTTGATCTACTCTAGAGGTGATTAAGCAGAGACTGAGTCCCCAGAACAAATGGATGCCCTTGTCACTTTTAATGTAATTTTTGTTCATAAAAATATTTGACTATAAAAAATTAAATTGAAATGCTTTCCTTTAGATTTCATAGGATAGCAGTTAAGAACACAGAAAAAGAGGCAACATGTGATATAGATTTTTCTGTTGGACTGCCTCGTGTCAGATTCCAGTTCATTTACTAGCAGTGGGATCCTGGCAAATTACCTCACCTCTCTAAGGTCTCAGTTCCTTCATCTGTAAAAAGGGCCGAATAACACTACCTGTCCCTTGGGGCATTTGAGAAAATGTAAGTGATAATCTTTATAAAGTGCTTGGCACATAGCTACCACAATTTATTAAGAACCATCAATATTATTTTTGTTATTCAATTGAAAGACACTTGAAGGTAATACAAGTGAAGGAAAACAGGTTCCTTCTGGACACACACTCCTTGAAGTTAAAGAAAATACAAATAAAATGGCCCTACCAAGATACTTCTTTTAGCATAAGGAATATCTGACCAAATTATTTTAGTTAAAAATTCTCAAGTACATATAAAAGTCACCTCAGGATGCAGTTTTAGATATATTTTTTTAGGCCCCACACCCAGTGTGGGGCTCGAACTCACGACTGAGGTCTAAGAGTCACATGCTCCACTGACTGAGCCAGCCAGGCACCCCTAAATTAAATATTTTAACAGTAGAATTAATTAGAGAAAGAGAGCCTTGTCACATTGTAGTAACTTGTAACATCAGTCTAAGAAAGTAGAAAATTACGAGTTTTAGTAAACAATTGTAATATATTCTATATTGTAATGTATTGTAGTCATAGCTTTTTTGCATATCAACTATTTTTTGGAAAAAGCCTCATAGCCAATTAATTAATACAGTGGATTTTTAAATAGCAACTGTGATGTGTATCTAAGTCTAGCTAATCCTGTGGTGGAAATACATTTTTTAAAAATACTTTATTTTACTTTTAAGTAGGCTCCATGCCCAACGTGGGGCTCAAACTCATGAGCCCGAGACCAAGAGTCACATGCTCTACCAACTGAGCCAGCTAGGTGCCCCAGTGGGAATACCTATTTCTTACACTATTAAAAGATAGTTTTTTCATGAGAAATTGTTCAAAGAACCTGTTATTAAAGCATATGATTTCAGTGGTTAGTGCTAGGTATTTGGCAGAGTTTCTTTGGAGAGTATATGTCAACTCATTTTATCAAATAAAAAATCAAATATTTAAAAGCATTGTGCCCAGAGATGCAGAGGGACATCCTGCTATTAAGAATACTTTGGATTTCTGTGAATTTACAGGTAAATTTATAAATCTAAAGAAATAAACCTTTCACGAGGAAAATGGAAAAATTTCAAAAGCAACTTAAAACTGTAAAACTTTTTTCTTCTTCAGATGATTTATAAACATACTGCTGTCATCTTTAAATTTCTGAAACACATGGAGTGTTTGTATTAACAAGACACGTATATATTAATTACTGCTTATTTTTATAAAGGTTCAGAGGTCCAAACAGATGACATTCTGTGGATAGCCATGGCAGGGACTCATCAGATATGGGCACTGCTACTGGACTGTGGCAGACTACCAAAGAAAAAGTAAGTGAGAGTATCTCTCTTTGGGTAAACTATGAGTTCACAGAATTCCCTCTCCTCAAGTCTCTGTTCTTGCAACGCCTCTATGCTAGTTGGGATGTGCTGGGCTACAGCACCATAACAAACAACCCAGATTCTCAGGAGCATAAGACAAGGTTCGTTTCTTGCCCACTCACATAGGTTCACTGGGGAGCGCTCCTCTGTCGGGCTGTTGACCAGGCTGATGAAGCAGCCACCTGCTTCATCTGGAGCTTTGCCAGTCATCCTGGCAGAGAGAGAGGTGGTGAGTCGCTCAGTGGCTCTTAAAGCTTCTACTCAGAAGTGACACACATCACTTTTACTTAAATTTCATCAGCCCAAGTAAGTCTTGTGACCACCATTGCTAACTTCCGGGAATGTGAGAAGATCATCCTATCGAGCCTCCAGAGAGAGAACTGGAAATGTTTGGTGGCCACTCATCTCTTAACATGCAGTCCACACATCCCTGCTCAGGAATGCAAATGTTTGAGTACTATGTGGCAGAGTGCTTAATGGCTCAGGTTTTGTAGTCCTGCCTGAGATCAAATCCTGGCTCTGCCACTTACTAGTTTGGGAGCTTAGGAGAGCCAATTTAACTTTCTATCCTTCGGTCTCTTTATATCTTAACTTCGTAGGCTTGTTTTGAAAATTAATAGTAGGTATGAAGAGCTCAGCCTGGTGCCTGGTTTATACAGTAAATGTAGGAGTTTCGCTACCACCGTTGGGGATATAAAGATGAAAAAGCAGTGTCTCTGCACAGTTTCTTATATCCTTTCTGTAGAGCCTTGTCTCTTCTCCCTCACACTCCAGGTAGAACTGACCATACTCTTCTCTGTGACCCCCCCTACACTCCCCGTGTAGTTACATTACTGTACTGATAAGTTCCTTCTCTCTTCCCCTCCTCCCTCCCTCCCTCCCTCTTTTTTCTTCTCTCCCCCTGTCCTGTTTCTGGTTGCATTTGCTGGTTTCCATAACTATTTCCTCCTACTAGACTGTCCCTTAAAGTAAAATTGTCCCTTACATAAATAAGAGGAATACCCAATATCAATAAAATATGAGGTATCAAGGAAGGCTTCCTGAAAGAAGCTGCTAAATTAAAACCTGATAGAGGAGCAGGAGTTAGGGAGAGTGGAGGTTTCCAGGCAAGAAATGACACCAGTGATGTGAGTAAAAGCCAGATCGTGAAGCACCTTCTGTGTCCTTTGAAGAAATGTGAACATTATTCTGCATGCCTTTATGGAAAGTTTTGAGCTGGCTAGTGACATGATTTGATCTGTGTTTTTGAAAAAACGCTGGCAGCATTTGGACTGGGACAAAACTAGAGACAGAGATAGCAGTGAGGGGACTGTGATCATCTCCAGGCAAGAGAAGATAGTAGCCTGAACAGTGTGGTGACCAGAAACATTAACGCGAAGCATAATTATAAACAGTAGAAGTAACAGACATGGCCAGAATGCACTGTTCTAGATGGCTGTTTTCGACCCATATGGTTAAGAGTGGGCTAAATTTCCAAATAAGTAGAGTTTTGTCACTCTCGTTCATAATAGGAAAATGTCCAGTCAGATCACATGGACCTGTATCATAATTTTAAGGATGCTTGATCTTTTTTACTGATCTTCCAGTGGTAAAGATTTCTAATGTTTTAGAAGTTACTTTTTCTCCCCACTCTTTCTTTTAATTAAGGAAACTCCTATTTGAAATTAAGATTCCTATTAATTACCTTTTAATTTATTTGTTTGGCATATTAGTTATCACATGTATTTCTCTGACTACATTTTTCTTTAAGTTTCTTAAATAAGTGGCTGTATTTTATACATTCTGTATCCCTTTGCCTCTATCCCCCATTGGGAACATATCAGTGAATAAGTGATTGTGGTCATCTTAGACTTCTGCCTGCTGGGCCATATCTGGAGATGATGTACATGTTGTCTCATTACTTTGCGTCCTGAGTCAGCTTCTTCCCCTCCCTCGACGCAGCATGCCACCATGTCTTCCTTACAGTTCCTGCAGCATAAACCTAGAAGCCAAAGTGTAAAGCTTTCTATTACAAAAAGAATCATTGCAAAGTCCTTTAAATAGAAATTTCTCTATTGTATATAAGAAATTGATTTTATAGTTGATTAAGGCAGCATAATTGTCCTGTAAGAAGTTAAGCTGGGATCCAGATGTACCTATCTCTGGCTATTTGTAGGAGGAAAAAAAAAAACCCACACACAACTATCCAGTCAATAATATGATCATTGAGAATAGTTTCAATTTTGTGTATGTCAAAAAAAAAAAAAAAAAGTAAAGGTCCCTGCACAGTGAGTAAGTTAATGATTTAGAAGAACTCTAGGGAAAGTAAAGCTGACTTGCACACTTGAGGCCAAGATCATGAGTCTGTTTTTTAACAGTGTTTATCACCACTTATTTCATTACTTACATTTATTTGATGACTAAATTGGACACAACATAACGATGTCGATTCCACCTATGAACTTGGGTTTTTTTTAGTGAGCTGAAAAAAGGAACCTGCCTTCGGTTTGCTGGAAGCGGAAATGAAGAGAACCGAAATAATGCATATCCTCACAAGGCAGGCTTTGCCCAGCCTTCAGGTCTCTCTCTGGCCCCCGGAGATCCCTGGAGCTGCCTGTTTGTCGCAGACAGTGAGAGCAGCACGGTGAGAACGGTCTCGCTGAGAGACGGAGCCGTGAAGCACCTCGTGGGAGGAGAAAGAGATCCCATGGTAATGCGTGAAGATCGCTTCTGCATGCTATGCCCAGACCCTAACCCCACTTGCATGTTTCGAATTGTGAAGTTATTAAATTTCAGGAGAGCAAGTTCTTGGCCTATCCATAAATTAAAGTGGAAGTCAGGCCAAAGGAAGTGTGAATATAAAACGCGAGTAACAAAACCATCTAAGAAAAGTCAGTTGGCTCTCCTTGATTACACAGATGTCGAGGCTTCAGGAAGAATGGAAGGATCAAATGTTGATTACAGAGGAAAGAGGAAAATGTAAATTAGATACTTGGCAGGAGGGTGGAAAGAGCACCAGATTAGTAGACTTGACCTGTTCCTGACCAGATGTGTGATTACTGTGAATAAAAGTACCAAGTGCCGTAAATTAACACAGGTTTAAAATTCTGTCATTTTTTTTCTTGTCTGAATTGAATACCCAGGTCTATTTATATGAAATCAGACCCATTTCCCCTTTAACTTAAGTAGCATATATAGTCTTCTTTTTACTTTATATCCTATGCTGTAGCACTGGAAAAATTTTAATACATGCTATTTCTTTCTTTAAAAAAAAAAAAAAAGAATTTATTTGCTTTTGGTGATGTTGATGGAGAAGGAATCAATGCCAAGCTTCAGCACCCACTTGGAGTAACTTGGGACAAGAAAAGGAATCTACTTTATGTGGCAGACTCTTATAATCACAAGGTGAGTCTTAATAGAATTCTAGATTATCCTGCTTTTCATCTGTGGCATTTAAAAAGCTGAAAGCTCTGTGAGCCTCCTCCAACTGCCACTTTAAAATAGAGAGGAGTAACAGTCTTTGACAACGATGTATAGGCCTTTGCTGTTCTTTTCTTAGTCCTTTCTTTGCAAAGAGGATACGATGGCACTCGGAGTTGGAGAAGGGACTAAATCAGTTCCCCGTGACTACAGCAAAAAATCGTGAATTGCGATCCATCAAAGCTGCCTAGTGACAGGGTAAATAAGGCGGCAGGTGACAGGAAAATTAGTATGTCAACTAACAAAGGAACGTTTCGAGCTGTTGCATAGTTGCAGTGCCTGCTAGCAAATAATTCCATTTTCAGCAGCATTTCCATTTTTGTCTCTATTGCATGGATTATTCAATTGTTGCCATTTTTATTGCATTTTTCTTTTCTATAAAAACTAGTGGAAAATGTTAATACCTTGTGATGACACCATAAATTAACATAATTGAGGCACAATTGGAAATCATTAGGTTTAACAGAAGCAGCCAATTCTCAGCCAGTGTTAGATGCTCGTGAAAAAGAAGAAAGTTCAACTGGGTCTTATTGTGAGGAAAAAGAATAACATTTAAAATTTTTTTTTGATTCCAGAATTTCATCAAAGATTGCTGCTGGAAGATAAGATGTAATTGGGTGTTTTATGTCATTTTTAGCTCTCAGAATGGAGTGTCTCCCCTGAGACTATAATTTGAATGTTTGGCTTTTCAAGAAAATATGGAAATGCCAATTTTTTTTTTTTTTTAAGATTTATTTATTAGAGCATCCTCATGAGTGGGAGGAGGAACGAAGGGAGAGGCAGAAAATCTTAAGCTGGGCACGGAGCCTGATGCAGGGCGCGATCTCACAGCCCTGAGGTCACTACCTGATCCGAAATCAAGAGTCAGACCCTTAACCAATGAGCCACTCAGGTGTGCTGGAAATGCCTATTTTTTTGAGATTTAGTAAGAATGCTAACGGCAGTCAAGTTCTCTGGTTTGCTTTTCACTACACTTTTCTATACTATGAACAAGAGCTTGACCTTCAGCTATATACTGCATTATTCTTTCCTTTTAGATTAAAGTTGTGGATCCAAAAACAAAAAACTGCTCAACATTAGCAGGAACCGGAGACGCAAGTAACGTTATCACTTCCAGCTTTACCGAGTCAACTTTTAATGAACCAGGAGGCTTGTGTATTGGAGAGAATGGCCAGTTATATGTAGCAGACACCAATAATCATCAGATTAAAGTGATGGATTTAGAAACAAAAACGATTTCTGTGGTAAGCAATCAAAGTGTAAGTTAAAGAGTATTATTTTAAGAATGATACTAAAGTCCTTACAGCACAGAAAGAGGCACTTTTGATTAAACCATCTCCAGTGTTGGACGTAAAACACGTAGGTAGTGAATGCTTCTTCCAGAATGCCCTGTTCTTGTTAAAATAAAAATTCCATTTGTGATGAGAATGTTTAAGATACTGGAAGTTGGAGAGAATTTGAACTTTCATCTGTGTTTGTCAAAAAAAAAAGTATGGGTGTAGACATACGTACGTACTACACGGGTTGGGTTGTCCAGGTGTTTTGTGTGTGTTTTTTTTAAGGATTCTTGGCTTCACCATAGGAAACAAAGATAACACATTAACCTCTTACCAGGTAACCTCCCAAAGGAAACCCTAGGAGCCACATTTCTCAACATGTTGAAAATAAGATTGGAAGAAACTTAAATGAGTTCTAATCAATTTTTTAAAGATAAGGATATAGTTTCCAAAAACGTTCACGCTACCTCTTGATATTATCACATTTGGCTGGGGAAAAAGACGAGTTTTTTTTTCTAAAATTCTAGGAATTCCCAAGATACATTTTTTTTTAAAGATTTTATTTATTTATTTGAGAGAGAGAGAGGGAGAGCACAAACAGGGGGAGCGGCAGGCAGAGGGAGAAGCCCCGACATGGGGCTGGATCCCAGGACCCCAGGATCATGACCTGATCCGAAGGCAGACGCTTAACCAACTGAGCCACCCAGGCGCCCCCAAGATATATTTTAAAATAAAAATACTGACTGCCATCATAACTGTCATTTCTCTTGACATCATCTTATAGTTGGCAGTGAAAATTGTAAGTGGAATTATACCCCCTACATTTAAATTAATAAAGTTTTACTTTAATTTCCTACCACCTGTAAACATCCTAGACAATGAACTTAGTTCTGTTTCATTAATATTAGTAATCTTTTTGCTAGGGTGAAATATGTTTCTGAACCTATAATTATAAGGATGTCTAAGTAAGCACATTTCTAATTCTAATTCAGACTAGAATGGCAATAAAGTTTTATCGACAGAGGTTCAAAAATAAGCTCTTAACAATTACTATGAAGTACTTATGTTTTAATTAACAGATTTTCTTACTTCCTAGCTCCCAGTCTTCAGACCTGACAATGCTGTGGTAGATGGCCCATTCCTGGTCGAGAAACGAAAGACATTGCCCAAACTGCCTAAATCTGCTCCAAACATTAGACTTTCTCCAGTGGCTGCATCACCAGGCCAGACTCTCCAGTTCAGACTAAGATTAGACCTCCCATCAGGAGCAGAGCTGACTGAAGGGGTACCCAGTTGTTGGTTTCTAACAGCTGAAGGTACGAGAATAATCTTGCAAACGTTCCAGTATGAAATTGCATTTACCAGTCTACCTTCCAGTAATACAGTGATCTAAATCTCAGAGTCCATTCTAAAGAAGGAAATTAATTTTTCCCTTGAGTAGGGTATTTTTAAAAACGTACTCTTTTAACTGAAGTAACTTGATTTAGGCTTTTTCCAAATCAGTTTTTTGGTGGTTTTACTACTTTTACTTTTCCAGATCTGCATCTGTCAAGTGCTTTAGAACTTTCAGTTGCTGTTCATCTTATTTCAAAAGGAGGACTTGATTTACCAGTTAAGCCTGAAGCTGCATTTTCTTCTTTAGAGATGCCAGAGGTAGAACCTGAGCCCCATTACTTGCTTGCTATAAGAAAATGGATGCGAAAAAAGTATCTTAAAAGCATGCCATCGAAGTAGAAGAACAAACCATTGTTGAAGGATATGTAATTGAATACAAATGAATCACTATGATCAGAATGCAGGCAGAGTCTTTGTCCTTACTAATTTGTAGTCATTTAAGCTAAGAGCACTTCCTGTTCGAGTCTATTCTCAAAGTATTCAGTGACTGTAAATTGTGTAAAGATTTGAATGTGTATTTGAAGCGCTGTGTGCTCTTGATTAATGTGTAAGAAGGAATCAGCCTGCCGCTTGCTTGATAGCAGTGCTTCGCAGCCCCTCTAATAGAGTGGACAACTGTAAAGTAAAATATTAGCGGTCCAGAACTAAGTGCTGACTTCTTGTCTCTAATGACCTTCCTCTGTCCTGGTCTCCCACGCTCTTTCACATGTTCTCAGTCTTCCATTTCCTCCCGCCTCCCCCCTCCTACCCTCTCACACACTTCTTTTGTGCCTTCCCCAGTCCCAGGCTCTGTGCCTTCTTACCTTGCTACTTTCTCAGGGCAGCCGCTGCTGTCCTGCAGCTACCCGCTGGGCATCCACACCAAGAGAACCCAGAGATCTTGGTCGTGTAGCCAGGAGGAACTGCTGGTTCAGAGTTGGGGAGGCTGGCCCTGGGGTGACTGAAACCACCCCCGCCCACCACAAGGGAGAGGGCTGAGCTCTGCAGGTGAGGAGGAGGAAGACGTTCGGAGCCAGCTCTGTGGACAGGAGAGTACTCAAACCCTGGCCATTCTTCTTCAGTCCTCAACTGTCGGCTTAACTGTTGTGCCATGTCTCTTAGTCTGCAGGGACTGCATCGATTGGCGATCACTGTTAATTTCATCTCTCTGTTGTAACTAAAGAGCAGTGGATTGACTTTTAAAATACGATATTGACAAATTAACATGTTCAAGTCTATTTGGTCCAACACACAGATTAATAATGAGCCACTGGAATACAAAATACAGGTAATATTAAGGTGAAGGAGTCTGTAGAGAAAAAGCACTTGTCCAAAATAGTGGTTCCATTTTTGTACATGGGCAAATAAGCTTGCAGACAAGAGTCCTAATAATTTAAGGTTTTTGAAAATTATTTTATAGGGTACATTTGTTACATCCATGATTAAAGGAAAGTTTTTCTTCTTGGCCAATTATTTAAAGAACTTAAAACATCTATTTTTAACTAAATTTTGGTCTATATAAAGTTGTCAGCACGTGAAGATTTGAAGTCCCCCCTCCAAAAAGACAGTTGTAAAAGCCCCACTGGCATATTATAACTTCACAAATCCCACATGTGATATACCTGAAAAATATCTAAAAAGACTTTATTTCTAGAATTGGACATTAAAATAGCACAATTATTTTCCTGTTTTGATTTAAAATATAAGTCTCCCACTAATCTGTTATGTAGCAAAGCCAAACATGAAATAAAACATATTCCCCAATACAGAAGCAAAGAAGGCCAAAGAATTTTAAAGAGAATTTTTAAATAATGGTTTAAAAGCTCTTCACTTAACTCCTTAGATTTTCACCTTTCACTTTCTCCTTACTCTGACTTGACATATTTTTCTCAAATTTGAGTTTTGAATCAACAGAGAACTAGAAGCAATATAGTGGAAGGGAGATGGAGAGGCCTAAGAAGAAGCAGGTGCTCCGAGTCTGTTGACTCATCCTGAGGTGAAAAGAAAGAAAAAAGCCAAAAAGTAGATACAGAATTTCATTACCACTCAGTAGGTTTTGTACAGATGACCAAAGTCATTGAGAAGTCATGAGACTGTGCTCCATGTCTTCTTTTTAAGATGGCAGGAAAGCATGTCCTGTGTTTTCCAGATGCTGGCTCTTGATTTCTAACCCCTCTTTAAGCTGAATATCCGTGTAAACATGTCCTTCCTCAATATGACTCAGACGTCCCTTCTGAGAGGAGGCACTGCATGAATAAAGAAATTTTTAAAATTCTGATACCAGAAGCTTAAAGAATTCTAATGGTTTACTACACTTGTGTTATAATCTACATATTTAAATCTAAGAAGAGTTATGTATTAAAATGAGGCAGACAAAAATCTTAGTATTTACATTGTTGAGCCGATCTGAATAATATATGCGGTGTTACTTGTCTCTAAAAAATGTATTTTTTGGTTTTTACCTTTGGATATTTAATAATTCATCATTATCTTGACTTTGAAAGTGACCGCAGAGTTGTACGTAGTCTGTATACCCTGGGTTATTCTGTAGTTGTCATAGGCATTCCTAAACACTTTATCTGGTAAAAATGACCTATTTGTTTATTTATAGAACTTAGTAGGTTTCATTTTTAATTTCAAGGATTAAGGATCTGTAGACATATTTGCATTATTCAGTTTGGTTTCAGTAGACATTTGCAATTTACAGTGTTCAAAGGAAGAATTTTGATAGTTTGCTATCAAGACCATTAGCCTGGGAACTCCTCATGGGTGGTCATTGTATCCCGTCAGTGTCCTTCACACAGAGCGTAATGCCTGGCACTTAGAGGCTTTCAGTAAATATCCGTTGATTGAATGAATTTAGTCTTCAGAAGGTTTGTCTAATTACCTACTTGTCTTCTTAAACAGTCTTAGTAATTTACCTTTGTATTTTCTAGGCAATGAATGGCTTCTTCAAGGACAGATACCCTCTGGAGAAATAGAGAGCATTTCCAGTCAGCCAGCGATCTCACTGCAGATTCCTGGAGATTGCTTGTCCCTTGAAGCCGTGATATCTATCAGCGTGTTCCTTTATTACTGTAGCGCAGACAGCAATGCCTGTATGATGAAGGGAATTTTGTTCAGTCAGCCTTTACAGATAAGCCGTGCACACCAAGGGTGCATCGCTCCAGTGGAGCTCAAGTATGGATTTTAACAAGCCAGTTAGCCACCCAGTCGCCACACAGCCACTGTCCTCCATCCTCATCATCACTGTAACTTAGGAAAAGCAGCTTTATTTCTGCCTCTGGATACCAAGGAACCCACTGCTCAGTTCTAGCAACTGGTTTTAAAATAAAGCTATGCTCCATATTTACTTATCTAGTATAAACAAATTCCTTCATTCTGGCTGTGTACCAGTTAAATCACTGACCATCATTTGAACCATGATTTTGTAATCCCTGCTGCTATTTGGCACAAAACTTAAATCCACACTGTAGTCTAGAATATTATCATGAACATAATTCGCAGTGAATACTGATAATGAAACCAAATATTTTAACTAACTTTTTCTACCTTTATTAGTATCAAGGAGCACATTTGAATATACACATTTCACAATAACTTTAAACAGAACCCAAGATCCAGGACACCTGCCACTCAAACCCTAAGGTCTGTTTAAGCCACACACACACACACACACAAAAAAAAAAGTCTTTACATCGCAGTAGAAACTTAGAATATCTGGGTGGTAAATATGTTCTTTGTTCTCTTCTGTGATTCTCTCAGTTGAGAGTGATTTAAAAGAGAATTTCTACTTTTATTATAAATTGCTATTTTAACATACCATGATTAATGCCTTATAACTCTATTCAGAAAAAGTATGTCAGAGGATGTACAGACTCCTTTGAGTCCCCAGAGATACTATAATTTTCACAGAGAAAAGGACTTTGAGACCTATTACTGTCTGTGATACTATTTATGATAAAAAATCAATTGTGACAGCTGAATCTGAGTCAATGGGTATATATGCTGTCTTAGAGGTTTAAATTTCACTTAGAAGCACTAAGATATGCAGATTGGTTGGGGTTTGGGTTTTTTGATTCCCGTATTCAGAACTTAAATTATGATCATTTATTGTGATGTTTTTAAAAATCACTTTTAAGCCTTCAAAGAAAATTTTAGTGTGAAGCACTTTCGTGCTATTAATATGTATATATATTTATTACTCTTTAAAATATTAGGGCTGAAACATACAGGGATTTAATGACACTGGGGTTATTTTTAACCCATAAAGAAATTGTCACTAGAAGATACTGAAAGTTTTTTCTTTATCATTTCCCTTTATAACTATTTAAAAGCCTATTCTTGGTTTTACTATAATTGATTCAATATGTTTGTGATTTAAGCAGCTTATAGAATTTTGAAAATGTCAGGTAAACTATATCCAATAAATATTTATAGACAAGATGGCATAATATGTCTTTCCCTTCAAAAGCAAATTAGAAGTGTGATCTCTGGAGGACCATCATCTGCCCCTTTTTCTTTTTGAAATATTGTTTTGAACATACTAGCTTTATTTACTCAGGTTACCTAAACCTCTGAAGTAAGGAAGTATGTAGTACTGACTTTGATTCAATTTGTAACCTGCTAAAGCTATTTTTAAAGAGATGTATAAATGTAAAGTTAAAAAGAGTCTTGTTTAAAATTATATATAATTAACCTCATAAACCTTTTCTTCCCACAAAAGAATTCTGTAATAAAGGGATGTATAACATTAATACTTTTACAGAGAATAGGCTGAAGTCATGTTTTAATCTCATTTGAAATATACTTCTCATTTCCAGTTGGACATGATGAGAATATTTTCACTCCCTGGGAAAGAAGTATATGCAGTTTTAACCTAATTCAGAAATACCTGATAATTAATTTTTCAATATAATATGCAAGCACATATATAGTTTTGTGTTATGTTTCTCAGAATCTAGTAATATTCTTTTTGTCTAGACAGTTTTCAGTTAGTATTAAGCTTATACTTTTCTTTGCAAAGTATGGGTTATTAAACATTCTTATTCTTACCCAGTCACCAGTCTGCACCATTTTACATTAAAAATATTATTTCTATGGATTTAGTATGATTTTTTGTAAATCCTACTAAAGCAGTATAAATAGGTTCCTAGAACTTATGACTAACATAAACCCCTTACATAAGAGGAAGCACTAGAAAGTTTATTTTTAAAAACTTGATCCTTGGCTGGCTTCTGCTTTCTATAAGGACTTCCATATTGTTTTTTTAACTTTTGCTTCTCTTCTTGTATAGATTATGCCCAGTGATAGTTTAGAAAGAGTAAGTATAAGTCATCTTAAAGTGCCAGTAATGTGGCATCACACACACTTTGACATCATTCCTAGAATCTTGGACCTAAATTATTGTGCTGCTTTGTCACTTTTTCCACCACTCTTTGTGATGTCCTTTCACAAGTGGTAGAACTTTCTTTCCCTGAATTTATACTCAGGATTAGTATGATCCCTGAAAAGAATTTTGCTTATCTTAAATATGCTGCCTCAAGCAAATATTTAATCTATTCACAAGGAAAAACTTAACAGTTTAATCACCCGTAAGTGTAACTTTGATAAAGTTCAATGACTACCAAACAGTTTTCTCCTTACCTGTTTTTTTTTTGGGGGGGGGGGTTCTGAACAAAAGTTTTTTTTTTTATGTTATGTTAATCCCCATACATTACATTATTTCTCCTTAACTGTTCTAATACTATAGTTCTGGTATTATTGGGTCTGCAGAAAGCTATAATCTTAACACAGCCAAAAAAAATTCCCATGTGTGGATGAGATAACACAGATCAAGAATTTCCACCTAAGTTTCTCTCACAGGCAGGATAGTTTTGAGTTAATATCATTGAACTAACCTACTCTCTGCTTGTTTTTCCATGTTGGAAAATTTAGGAAAATATTGAAAATATATATCAGTAATAATTTTCTGCCTGCACAAAATTTATTAGTTTATTATATCTGCCAATTAAAAAGACTTCAGTCTGACCATTGTATTTGGCATCATGTTTAAGAACAATTATCAGAAAATTCCATAGTTCACAATTGCATAAAAATATGTGGAGAGGAATTATGTCAACAGTGGTTCTCCTGAGTGATGAAATCATGAATATTTTAATTCTACTTGTATTTTTTTTTCAGTGAACAATGTGTTATTTTCAGAAAAAGAAAACTGGAAGCAATTTTTAAAGATCTAAAGTGAACTGAGTTATAAGCACTGATGTAACTTTTCTAAAGTCATCCTTATTACCAAGGATCAGAACATAGTTTGGAGCCCTTTGTTCTGTTGGTTCTCTTAATTATGTGATTTGGTGAAGACAGAAATGATCATGACTTTTTCTTCTGGGGGTTTTATAGTGTAATGTGGTATAGTGGTTGAGAGCATGTGCTTTGCAGGCTCTAGGATTCTAACCGTATACAGTGGGGCTCTTCTACCTGTTTTATGGGGGTCACTGTAAGGCTTCAATAGTGTTTGTATTTAGTAATTAATGGAACTGCTAGTTATTCACTTAGTTAATAATGATAATTTATGACCATAAACACATAGCTTGACATTTTCTTTGCAACTACAATTTCTAAAGGAAAATACTTCTCAGCCAACTATTTGATAAGTTAATAATCTCCATGGAGCTGGGATTCAAGAAGAGAAACAGTTTTATAATAAAGTATATTACTACTTTATAAATGATGTTATAGTTAGAAACCTACAGTTTTATGAAAATTTTCTTAAACAGACCCAGGACTACGAGTCATATACTTCCTTTGAGAGGGTCCAGACATACTGACCCTACACCCCATTCCTGTAACACACTGATGGTGCTTTACAAAGTCTTCAAAGTGCCTTCATGCATTTTGCCTCATTTGAGCTTCAAAGTAACCTATGAATCAGACAAGTAGATGTTACATCCATTTTACAGATGTGAAAATGTGGGTGACATAACTCAAGTTCTCAGAATAATGCCTGATGCTGGAGTGGGGCCTGGCGTGGGCTGTTGCTCAGCCAATTGCGTGGAGTGACTAAAAGGTGAATAGTGAGTGACTTATGTTTTATCTGAATATAGGTCTCCTAATTCCTACCTCTATTCCTAGATGGAAAGTGAAAACAAACTGCAGAATTAAGAAAGAGTACGTACTTCTGTGAATGCTTTCTTCAGCCTCTGTTAAGTATTTAAATAAAGTAATACAAATAGCTGAATTTATTGAGTGCTTACTATGTGCCTGGCACTTTTCTAAGTGCTTTTTATGCATTAACTCATTTAATCCTTACAACAGCCTTCTGAGAGAGATACTGTTTTTCCTTATCTCCCCGATGATGAAACTGAAACAACAAAGTTCTAAGCAGTTACGTAGACTCGAGATCACACATTTAGGAAGTGGCTGGGCCTGGATGAGTCTGCTCCACTACCATACCACTCTGCCTCTCCAAAGTCGGGGTTTTTTAGACCTCAGTCTTTCAAAGCTATATATAGTAAATAGTAATCAAAGAATCCAAAAAGTCCTAGTGATGATTGTTTTTTAAATTTAAGTTAAATCCATTTAACTATTAGCTCTTTGGACTTTTCATTTTACCCTCTTGGGAACAGTCTGTATGCTTTTGTTTTCCAAAAGATTTTATGTACCATTCTTTCTTAAATTCGAATATTATCCAGAATTTTTCTTGGCAGACAGATGTATTAAAGAATTAAGTAGATTTTCAGTGTTAGTTCCAACAATGCTATTTTAATTGGTCTTCAAAAGGTAATTATAAGACCTTGTCATAAAGGATAACTGAATTTTTAGCACAAGGCTGTCTCAGACCCTAAACATCTTCATATTTAAGAACATTCTGTTTTTAATAACTAAAGTGAGTTCTAGAAGCATAATATTTGGCCAACCTGTTAACACACATAAAGCACATAAAGCTCTCTGCCTACTTGCTTCGTAAATGACACTGGAATGAGAACCTCCACCCCAGTGACTCAAATATATGTGATTCTATTACAGTAAAGTTTTCACCAGATCAGCCTATTCTAGAGTTAGGTACTGACAGGAACGAAGTAAAATTTTATATACCACTGTGGTTCATGATCATCCAGGAACAAGATTATAAACATCTTTTCATTAGATAGTCTGCTAATTTAATTAGAATGTGTTAATTGTTATAAAATCCCATTCCTGAAACCCATTAGGAAATGTACAACTTAAAAAGTAACTATTGTGTCATACTTCAGAAGTAGAATTCACTATTAATCACCAAGAATCCTCTTTCTCCTGGGGCACATACATAGTTTATTTAAATGAATTCACGCTAACCAAAAGTCACTGTTTTGTCCTAAATAATTAGAAGTTTGTTTTCCCCATTTCCTTGCAATAGGATAATCTAAAAGAACAGTATTACACAGTAGGGGCTTACTGATCTGCCTGCATGTGTTCCGTGACCAGGAAACCTTGGCCCTTCTCCACCAGACCTGCAGGTTCCCCTGGCTGCTTCTGGCCTCCCGGCAGCCAGTCTGACCACAGAGGGCCTGGGTACAGCGGACCAGGAGGCCGCGCTAGGCAGCTTTTCTGATTGCAACCCTTCCATTTTTCTGTGTGCTGATTTGGTTTAATTGTTTTCAAAGGTTAGAGCTGGAAAGTGAGAACTCTACATCCTTGCTGTGGAATGTTTGCCTAGAGTTCTCCACTGTCTGGTGTGTCCCTCTTCGAGGCATGTCGCTCTCAAGTACACCAAGGGGTGTTTTGTTGTGTTGAGAGCCCCCAACCAAAAGGAAAGAATCACAGTTATTTCCAAATAGGCCTCCCTGCCTGTACCAGCAACTGTGTCCTAAAAAACACTAAGCGAACATAAACTGAGGCCTTTTTGTGACTGTCAGGGCATGGTACGAATTCCTTCTTTTAGTAGCAACTGACAGAGCTGGTGTTTCTTAGTAATACAGAGTGAAGCAAAATCTGTTAATGTTGAAACTTGAGACTGAATGACATGGACAATTTATTGCCTTTGGTTTTAATATACTTGGTTACATACTAAGATTTGAAATACAGTGACATGAGACCTCATAATGCTGAGAAGTAGGAAAAAAAATCGGCCTTCAGATTTAAATATGCCCAGTTTAGACAGTCTTTTTATGATTATCTACCGTGCTATGCTCATGAGAAATATATGCTAAAGTATACAGGGCAAAACAGTTGATAAAGTATGGTAATGAAGGGTAAAAATAGACATGTTCCTATCTGAAAATGTAGAAGGACTCTGCCATGTAACAATCTATTGTTAGAATTTGTGGTCATTACAATCGTGCTGTGAGCATCTACAGGATGGGCTGCTTGCGCCGTTCATTATACCATTCAAAACTAACGAGTTTTTGCTTGTATAGGGTTGAAATGTGCTGTTCATGCATGCCTATGATATTCATCATCCAAATTTACCTGTAAAACATACATTACCACTTCCTCTCCACACCTTAGACTTCCCTTTCTTTAAAAACAACAGTAGTTTCTGTAGAAGTTTCAGTGAGGAACTATGGTTTCACAAATAACAGAGCAGATGGTTTTGTTGCAGTACATTTTTTTTCTAGACTTCCTAATGAGATCTCAGTTTCCAGAGGAGAACAGTACTCCATGTGATTTAAAGATTAATTTCTCTCTAATTTGCAATATACCTTCCTAATATTTTAGGAATAGTTAGGTTAGTATTTTTTTAAAGGTTTGACGTTCCGTTAGGGCGCATTGAGAACCAACTTAGAAATGTTTTCGTTGCTGTGATCACTTTACATGTGGTTTATAGACAAATCAGAGTTTTCTGTGCGCTTGAGATATGTATGTATAATACACTCCCAAATTGTAACATTTCATAAATTTGTGAAATTTAGAGACTCAGACTCTGCGGTCTTTTGTGTGGATAAAGTTGATTTATTTTTGAGAATAGAGTTGGTCTGCTGTGCTGACTTCATATCTGTCATTCCAAAGGTTTGATTACATTTATTTTTTCCTCCAAAGATAAAAAATGCAATGAAATCCAATTTATAATTTCATATACTGGTATTTCCATTCATGCTCTAATTCTAAAAATTAATGTGGTCTGCATATTTAAGTGTTTCATGTAGACAGATTAATATATTTTTACAACACTATTTCTGCATATATTTCAAGACTATTTTCAGTGACTTTTTCAAGTACATGTGTTAACAGAAGATCATATAGAATGAATGTGTGCATCAGCCTTCATTACCAACTCAAAAGAAGTGTAATACGTGTGATTATAAAAGAATGTATTTATACTGTACACTAATGCCTAATGCCTCTTTTCTAAAACTTTGCACTATTTTATGAAATAGATTAAATATTTTCTCTCTAAAGCCATGTTTCTGTTTTTAATATGCTTTCTGTTTTAAATACACCATGAGATAATTTTACTGCTTACAAATCTAAGTCACAATTTAGTATTTGAACTTTTGGGGAAATGAGTGTAGGTACTGATTTAAAAAAAAAAAACCCTGCAAGCAAATAAAATCATGCAATCATAATTACAGTAATTAAAATCATAAGTATAAAAACTGCATTTAGGAAAGGCGATCTATTCAGTAAATGGTTTGGGGAACATTTGAAAAGAAAAAAGATCTCTAGGGACACCTGAGTGGCTCAGGTGGTTAAGCATCCAACTCTTGATTTCATTTCAGGTCACGATCTCAGCGTTGTGAGACTGAGCCCTACATCAGGCTCCACACTCAGTGGGGAGTCTGCTTGAGATTCTCTCGTCCCTCTACTCACTCTGTCTCTCAAATAAATCTTTTAAAAAAATCTCCATTTAACACTATTTACAGAATTTGAAAGGAATTAATGACAATAAAAATTAAGAATACAAAATGCCAGAAGAAATGAAAGAGAATATAGTGTCAGGGGTGAGGAGGGCATTTCTAAGTATGACCTAAAACCCAAAAGCAATAATGGGAAAGATTGATATGTATGACTACATAAAAGTTTTAGGCATCTGTATAACAAATGAGAACAAATGAAAAGTTAAAATGAAAAAGTATTGCAAAACATAAGATTGGACATAAAATTAATCATATGAGGAGCTCCTATGAACTATATATATATTTCAAGTGTGTGTGTTAACAGAAGATCATATATCCTATGAAACATACCCCCGTTAGAAAATAGGCAGAGAATGTGAGCATACAGCTCATAAAAGAAAGCAATGAGAAGATGCTCACTTCACTAAATCAAATGCAAATCCATCCATTCAGCTATTTACTGAGCATTTCTTATGTCGCTAGGTCCAGTGATGAACACATCAGACAAGGTCCTTGCTATAGAGCTTGCATTGTACCTGAAAGGAGAGATAAGAATGAATAAATGAACCAAAAGGGTAATTGCTGAAACAAGGTAAATAAGAGAGTAAAGGCCTCCCACTGAATTATGAAAGTATGAGAAAATGAAAAAATAAAGCTAATATTATCACGCTGTACTTTACGAATGTTGAGAATTAAACTTTTCTTTGTAAGAAAACTTACCAAAAGTATTTGAACAGTGCCTGCTTCCTCCTCATCATAAAATTTGTAATAGCAAGTATTTTTCTCAAAGGCAAATCATCTTTTGCCTTTCTAAGATTGGATCAGCTTCCAAAATTTTCATCCGTGTTTTCAATGCTGTGCTCTATCTCCCACGGTTTCCTTAATGTGAAGTTTTTTCCATCATCACTTCTTCTGGGACATCAGCCTTCTCATCACAGCCACTTCCTCATGGACTTCAAGTCACCCTCCATCAGTGTCCCTGGGTACACATCAAGTCTATCAAATAACAACAGCATTCCCAAGGCCAGCTCTCACTCCACCTACATTCAACTCAAATGTCACTTCCAGTGTGTACATGTTTCGTTTCTTTGCTGGACTTCCTGTCTTGATGGCCAAATCCCTCTTTTGGTTATCCGACAAGAAGTCACCACAACTACACATTTTGCTGTCTGTGTACAATCAATCACACACAGCGACCAGTCACCAACAGACTTTGGAAGAAGTGACATTATTGGTCACTGATCATGGGACACATCTGTTATTACACAGTGATTTGTGGACTGAAGAGCTAACAGTGAAGTTTGTACTTAGATGATTATAGTCAATAATCCCTGCAGCTGAAATTAGAACAGTGTTCTTGAGGGAGTGGTGTTATTGAAACTGTTGGAACTGAAGCTGGGCACGTCAGAATTATTTGGAGCAAGAACTGCCTGCATATGTATAGGGATTTAAAAAAAAAGGAATAGATAAATGGAAGGATACGACAAACCCTAATAACTGCATAGAGTTGAATATAGGGGATAGGGAAGGATTCGTATTTATTTACCCTATATATTTTTTTTACTGTTTGGAATTTTACAATATTACAAGTTTTTCAAGTAAACTGAAGTGAGAAAAGGATTACTTGTGTTTCCCACAATCACATTGCTTGCTGTGTGTGCATCCTGAAAAATGTAAGCAGAAGGGTAATGAAGAGTAATATGAGAAACAGGATTGAATATAGAAATATTTGTGGGAGGGGGAAAAAAAGCCTATACTGGTTATTTTAGACTCTGTGAAGAGAAATCATGCAAACGAGAGTAAACCTGTCACAAGGTTTATTATTTTGTCTAGAACACACCAACCTTGTACCAGCTGACCTGACACCATCACTTAATCACAGAATGATCATGAGCAAGTTACTTCCTCTCCACTGACATTGTTTCCTCATCTGTTAAGCCAGATATTATTACCTCACGGAATCATTGTATAACATTAGAAAAGCACTTAGCCCAGTGACTCACAACCAGTGAATACTCCAATGACTCCATGGAGTCATTCGTGCCATGGAGAACATGGACCTTTCTGCCCGTGAAGAGAGGTCTGTCTTCAGATAGAGACTCAAAGACAGTTGATGTGTTTTTCCCACGTGGGGAACTCAACCCAAAGACTTCGGTTCTGAGCCATTTGAAGATTATGCAGTTTGGAATACACAGGGGAAAATCTGCTTGTTTAGCTTTACTTCAAAATAATAATAATTTGTTATTGACACCCTGGGACTTTATTTTTTTAGGATGAAACCCATCCCTATAAACCAACTCGTTTATTTAAAAATAAATTTTCGTACATTTAAAAATACACAGAGTTTTAATAGGACTGAGAAAATTATTTAGAACACTTTTATCTCACCAAAGGCAACCTTGTTAGTGTAAATAACGTTGTGCAACTCCATTCTCTAGCTAATTCAATTGTTTTTTGAACTCCTAACTGGGTAAGAAATTACCCAGACTTAAAAGAATCTTAAGGGGGGGAAAATTGGATATTCATCCCTTTTTTTTCTTAATGAATATGCCACAAAAATATTTGAAATACTCTTTATGTATATAAAACCTCATTTAGAATATTTTTAAAATTTGTTTAAATGGAGGTTTATTTAAAAAATCATGGGTTATCCAACATACAGTCATCGTGCTATTTTACAGATTCGTGACCTTGAACTTAACAGCTTTCCAAAAAATAAATTGCTCTTTATTACGTGATTTTTTTTTCATGACACAGGGAGTACATCTAGACATTGAGGATATTTTGTGCTCAATTCTTAATCTTGTCAGCTGTTAAGGAATCAAGGAACTTGGATGACCGGCATGATAAGCAAATGTATCTCCAAACTCCCACAGTCTGAAATTGCCTGTCCATCTAGAGAGCAAGCCTCATTGGCATCCAGTGACGTGTCAGTGCGGCTGATTGCTGTCCAGGAGGGCAGTGAGCCCCTCAAATCAGTTTTTCAATCATCAGGTTTTAGTGAAACTAAGATAAGACATCAATTTTTCACAGGAACGCACACTGTACTTCATTTTGCTCTTTGCCAAAGCACTTTAAGTGACCTCTTTTATGTTCAGGTAGGGTTTCACTTTTAGCTTAAAGACATTTCCCATGACCTTCAAACCATGCTTATGCCTTAGCACTTTATAATATTCATTAATGTGAAAAAAAAATTCTCATCCTAGTTTCACTAACACCTGATGATTTTAAAACTGATTTGAAACAATCCTGTTTCTTTATCTTGAGGGGCTTCTCCCCTTCTTGAAAACAAATCAGCAGCACTGCCACATCACTGGATTCTGATGAGGGCTTACTCCCAGTGCCAAAAGGCAAGGTTCAGCTTGCCAAATTTGGGAAATATATCTCCTTGTCACTTCAGTTATTCGAGTTCCTTGATATAGATCTATCTAGATCTAGGTATGGTTTAGTTATAATAACTATGGATATATCACTATATGTGTGTGTGTGTATGTATGGATATATATGTATAATATAAATATAAATATATATATATATATATAATTGTGGCCTACATACATAATTTAGTGTGTATCATTTGTGGGTGTGTATATTGGGCCAGTTGTAGTGTCCCCTTTTTTGACCCCAAACTCAAGTTCCAGGCAAGCTTAGAGCACAACTTTAATAAGTAGTTAAGTTAAATTAAACTTTGCAAATTAGAATTTAAATCTATGCCCCGCATATTTTAATTTCATTTTATTGCTAAGAGAAACTGCTAGACATTATCACTGTGTCTGTTGTTTGTTCTTCCTCTTATTGAAGAAAACACTGATTTGCCCTTAGAGTGGAAAGGTCAAGTTCCACAATCCTGCCAACACAAGAGAGCATTCATTGACCCTAATATTTTTAAGATTTTAATTTGAAAAGCATCATCTCATTAAATAACAGCTACCTCTTTAAATTCAACTAGTTCTATATTAGGCATTTCGTTGGAAACGGCAGCACAACCGAGTCCCTTATTAGAACAAGAAAGATAAGGAGGGTAAATATTTGAAGTGTAGTTTATCTCCCCATTCCTGGAGAGGGGAAAAAAAACAATAGCTTACCCAAGTTCAGGAAGCTGACATGACCTAAGAATCCAAGCATTGCAAGGGATCTAACGAGGCTGTTTACTCTGTGCCCCTAGTCTTTGGGCAGCAACACACCTAAGTCAGCCTTGCAGGGAAGCAAGTAGAAAAGACAGCTGCTTTTATTTGTTTAACTTCCTGGAGGAAGAAAAAATAATCATCCACGTGGCCCAGAACCTTATTTGGTTTACTTGCACCTTGCTATTACAAACTGTAAGATATTCTTGGGTGTTTCGCTGTGGTTCAGAGTAGTAGGTGAGAGGTACAACACCGAAGTTATTTTGATAATTTGTGTTAATAAAGTGCCTCTGTCAGATTTTATCATAATGAATGAGGTGATAGAAAAGTTGCATTTTAGTCACTCATGAGATCTAAAAACAAGGGTCTAGCCTGTTTTAAAATGCAATTCTGCAACCTTTATAGGTAGTACATTCTATTATTTAACAACCTTGCAAG